CCAGAAGGTGTAAGTCCCATCCGCAAGTCTTATGTCATTACAATATAATAGAGTGATTAAGGCCATTTCATTCAAGTAAGAAAGTCAACAGATTATTAGGGTTCAAGCAAGAGACATTCGTAACATAGCCTTATGATTTTGGAAATACATACAAGAAAGACCGAGTTAATAAGTTTTTATTACTCTGCAAGGATGTTTACTTTTTCTTTTGTGTTACGAACAGTTTTTATTATGTTGGTTCCAAATTTCCACGCAAACATATCAGAAGCAGGCTTTCATCACCTGCTGTCGCGGGACATCCAGTAGATGTAACGTTGGCCACAAGACAGATAAGCACACGAGCTCGTTTTTTCAGTAGGTTCTCCCTATTTTCAAGAAATTTTCAAAATGAACCCAACTCAACATCCCAAAGTATTTTCAACAGTGCGTGCCCAATGTATTAACTGTGTTGGTTATAATAAAATTAAATACAAACGCCCTTTTTGTAACAAAATNAATATGTCGTATATTCTAGCTTTCTTTTTGTTTATAATTTATATAAATGTATGTTACTAAACACAATAAATCTTGGGTAAATAAAAAAGAAACCAGTTTCTAGTGGCTTAGAAGGTGGCGCTGTAGTCGTATTATTTAACCCTTCTAACCTCTCGTCTGTGGGCTAATGTCAAATTTTAGATGTTAAGTAACAGATTCAAAACTGGAAACAAACACAAACCACATTTTTGATATAAATTATGTACATAATTCAAGGTATCTATTTATTTGAGAAGACTTTTTTAATAAAGTCATAATTTACCCAAAAATGTCGTCTAAATAAAAAAAATATTTCTTACAATATTTCTCGTAATAACTCAAAGGGGTAAGTATTTACTTAGTCATTAAAATCTTGCAGTTTTTATGATTTTAACTACTTTTATTATCAGAAATCGTTCAGCCATTTTAAAACACAAAGATAATTTCTCTCGAATTAGAACTCTCTTCCAATCTATTAATGAAACAGATTCCAAAACAGACGCAAACTCACTTGCTCGTGATAAAGTACCTTACCTATTATATAAATTCTGTAGCAATGCAATCATGAATATCTTGAAAAATGAACCTTCAGAACTCGAGTAGGCGCACTAGCGCCACCTTTCGGTATTTAGGCGAAACATGCTTTTTTCTCTATGTTACATGAATGAAACTTATAGGTATTATTTATGAGAATGGCATTGAATATGAAAATTATGTATGAAAAAAATGTGTGAGGTGAGCTGAGCATTTTTCTGTTAGCGTATTATTTTACCTAACTCCTAGTTCTAAATGTCGCCGTTGCACAAAATGAACGGATAATTATGTAGGTAAGTAAATAGGGTAAATAATTATCAGATTTCCATAGAGAGCTATAAAAATAAATTGTTAAATGTGGACCTATGTAATTTAACTTTATATTTTTGTGTAAGGGTGTATTCAGTTCAGGAAATGAAACAGTAAAATTATTCTAGTACCTTATTAAGCAGATAACTATAATTTAACATTTATCTTAAAAATAATCGCTTAATTAAATTATAAATAAATTGAAAAAATAGAACTGCTCAAGGCGGGAATCGAACCCACGACCTTTCGTTTGCCGGGCGACTGCTCTTCCATTTATCACTGGATGAACCAGTCGCATAACTACCTGTAGCGCCATCTAGTCTCAAACTAATAAAGCAACTGTGGAAACGAATTTAATGAAACATGGTAGTGGTACAGTCGAGTTCATAAATATATTGGCAGTGCTAATGTTTCAAAATATTCTAAGCGTTTTAACGATCACGTATTTCAGTAATCAAATGTAATCATATAAAAACTTTTAACATGATGCATATTGACTGCGCAACTGCGCTACAGACTGCGCTACAATATTTTGAATTTGGGCACTGCAAATATATTTATGAACTCGACTGTACCTACTACTATTAATACCTACATACTGTTTTAACAAGGCAGTTACTTATTTTACCACAATGAAAAAATAAGATGATGTTAAGTGAGATGCAGTCTAGGATGGTAAACCTACTCTGTAGGTGCCTATTCACTCTCAAACAACATTCGCCATAACAACAATGTTAACAGCATTTTTGTGTTCCGTCAGTTAGAGGTAAGATAGCCAGTTCCTCCGTGGTTGAGGATTCCGGGTGAAGCTTGCTTCCACCTGGCCTAATCATCACTTACCATTAGGTGAGATACAGGCCAAGAGCTTCCTCGTTGTGGATAAAAAGAAACTCACTCTTGAAGGGGCCCAGAAATCCCGAAATGGCCCGGATCATAGTGATCGGGAAAGACAGCAGCGGGCGCCCAGGCGGGCAGCGAATACCAGTCCTTAACTAAAGTGTTACCGAAATGCTTAGTGCGAGCTAGTGTCATGTCTACAATGTCTACGCCGCGCTGACCTGCGTTCCCCGGTGGCTGGTGGAGCTGGTGGAATTAAATTTTATACCTAATATAATATCTTTGCACACATTCTCCGAAGTGTAACCTGTAGAAAACCGATAGAGATGCTACTTTAGGCTGGCGGTGGACAAGTTCTTTGTGCGAAGCTTCAACACATGCACCACCTAACTTAGACCGTAACTTTAACGATAACGTTTGTCAAAGTAAGATGGTGCAACCCAGCCTTAATTATTATATAGAAACACCCAGACTAAAAAATATTGAGCGGGTATCGAACCCGCGACCTCTGCCGTAATATTCAAGTACAAGTTATTGGTTGACATTTCAGACCCACCATACCCCTGCTCTGACACTGCAGGGGCCCTGCAGTGTTTGAAAAATGATGTTCATGGTCAGGTCTATTTATTTTATTTATTTGTTCGTAATGTTTAAAGTATTTCTGTGACTTAAGTGTGTAAGGACAGCATTTTGCGGTAAACATCTCTAAAATGTCTTGTTTATCAGAATGATATCTCCCAACTGGTAATTATTTTGTGACCATCTTTTATCTCATAGCTCTGATATTTATAACTTAATAGGTGATTTCCACTCCGATAAACCTTCGTTCTATTCCTTTTTGGCAGCTTTTTATTTCTAGCTAGCTCATCTTGGGAATCGAACCCAAATCAACAATCATCGGGCGCATATACCTCTAGGTAGTAGATGTATATGTATGTGACAAGAATGCTTGCTTGAACTTTTTGTAGGTACCTATTTGCGTTTTATTTGTGCGTTATTGTTGCTTACTTTGAAATAATTGTATAACATCATTCCAATTTCTCATGATACTCATATTTCTCCAGAAGTTGTAAGTCCGATCCGCAAACCTGATGTCATTACAATAAAATAGAGTGATTATTCATTGAAGTAAGAAGTACCCTTCTATGATCTGAGGGTTCAAGAGACATTCCTAACATACATAGCCTTTTGATTTTGGAAATACATACGAGAAATACCGAGCTAATAAGTTTTTATTACTCTGCAAGGATGTTTACTTTTTCTTTTATGTTACGAACAATTTTCATTAGGTTGGTTCCAAATTTCCACGCAAATATATTAGAAGCAGGCTTTCATGGCCTGCTGTCGCGGGACATCCAGTAGATGTAACGTTGGCTACAAGACAGATATAAGCACACGAGCTCGTTTTTTCAGTAGGTTCTCTCCCTATTTTCAAGAAATTTTTAAAATGAACCCAACTCAACATCCCAAAGTATTTTCAACAATGCGTGCCCAATGTATTAACTGTGTTGGTTATAATAGAATTAAATACAAACGCCCTTTTTGTAACAAAATATGTTGAAAAATCTGGATAAAATGAATTTATTAAAAAACTGTGGAAANTGTTAAACTAAATTGGTGGAAGAATTAGCGTCTGTCACACAGTTTAAATGTAACTAGTATAGCGTTAATGATCCCTATCTTAATACAGCTCCTATTGTTAAATGTACTTTTTCTCGTTAAGATACCATGAGCATTGTTAAAGACACAATATAGTTATTTATTTATTTATTTTATTTATTTCTTTATTTATTAATTGACGAAATATTTGAACGGGTTTAAGCAATGATTTAAAATAAATACATATAACAAACATGTAAAATTTGTCTTTTTTATTTCACAATAAAGGTCTTGAAATTAATTTTAAATTGTTTCCATTAACCACATACATAATTAAATGTAATAAGTCTAGCTTGTTTACAATTACCCCTAAGTGACTGCTTTGTGTCCAATTACCCAGATATTTTCTTTGCCAAATCGAAGGAGCAACACAAAGAGTTTTAAATTACCCCCTTGATAAGGAATTAGATTGATTTCTCTTTATTTAGATTTATATTAAGTGTCCATCAAAATTAGGTGAATACTATATAAGCTGTATCTCTTACAGATACTGAATTACATGTTTCCAACTGCCCCAATATTCATAATTTGTAAAAATATTGATGCGTAATTGTAAACAGCGATTTAGAGATCATTTATTTACTTATCAATTTAATAACCATATATTATATTAAATTATAGATTACACGCCCAACTATAGTAATACATATAATTTTATTATATTATTTATAAATAAAAAAAATAAATTATAAAAGTTAAATTATGGTACCATAAAAAATTAAGAGTTTACAATTACCCTGGTTGACCCTATTATTTTTCATTTGACAGCATACAATTCGTTGCAATGACAATTACAGTTACACTCAATAATTATTGATAACACAATGAAAATGAATCAGATCTAGAGTATAAATTTATAATTCCGATCAATTGCAGTAATAAACTTAAAATATTTAATACTCTTAAAATGTTGGAGGTAGCGTTGTTATGATGTGTGATCTGCGTTCTAACCACCAGGATACATTATTTTATTCCGTATTATCGTTTAAAAATACTTTTTTTTAAATAAATAGTTTGTTGTGCAAATTGATAATAAAAACAATCCTGATTTTTTTGCTACAAAATATGTTGAAAAATCTGGATAAAATGAATTTATTAAAAAAGTGTGGAAACTAGTAGCAATACCTGGCACGAGTGACGCCACAGTCTACGTCGCGTTTGCGTCATCATACCGTGAACAGCGCTCAAACGGGGAGGACGTGGGATGACAGTGTGCAGTGTGTAATTAGAAGCATCATTATATTTTTTCAAATGTTTCTAATATCGAAATTATAAAGTACAAAGTTATTAGGTTAGGTAAGTTTTGCGCGTGTTGAGAGGCCACTTGAGGCGGATTTTATCCAGTTTGTTTCCATGCGGTATCTATGAGTGTTTTCTGATACTAATCTGTGCTTTTATTTTTCAGGTTCCTCGTAGAGGCGCCGCCATCATGGCGTCGGACGAACAATTTTCATTATGTTGGAACAATTTCCACGCAAACATGTCAGCAGGCTTTCATGGCCTGCTGTCGCGTGGAGATCTAGTAGATGTAACGTTGGCTGCCGAAGGCAGGTTATTACAAGCACACAAGCTCGTTTTATCAGTATGTTCTCCCTATTTTCAAGAAATGTTCAAAATGAACCCAACTCAACATCCCATAGGTATGTATTTTCAACAGTGTGATATTTGTTTACTGTGTTGATATTCCTATGATATGACTAATGTGCATTTTATTTGTTTCAGTATTTTTAAAAGATGTTAGTCATTCTGCATTAAGAGACTTATTACAATTTATGTATCAAGGTGAAGTTAATGTTAAGCAAGAAGAATTAGCGTCGTTTATTAGTACCGCGGAACAACTTCAAGTGAAAGGTTTAACCGGAAATCAAAATGAAGAGAATAGTTCCACGCCATCCAAACCAAAGCCGACGTCGAGGCCAGGCCCGAGGTCGTCACAACAAAGGCAATCTGTTATGACTAAGTTAGAGACTGATTTAGATTCTAAGCCCTCATCAACTCCAGTAGCAATTAAGCGACCAAATAGGCCATCAATAGCATCAAATAATTCGTCATCTTCACAAAGTGGACCTGCGAAACGGAAATGTGTAGACCCATTAGAAGCCGGACCCTCTGGATCAGCTAAAGAAGAATTTGTAACGATACCGGACGAAGATGAAAACAACGCAGTGGCACCAAAAATGGAACCCGAATTTGTCAATGAAAGCATGTGGGATGACGACGAAGAGGGTGCAAATAACGATGACACTACTTTCGGCGAAGATGACTCTAATATGGAAATGACTGGTACGTATCTCATGCCGCAGTCGCAAAATCATCCACTTTCACCGAGGCATGGGTGAAACTAATTATTTTTTTATTTTCAGGCTTTGATGGTTCTGCAACTGGTGATGGCAATTTAACGGGGAGCGGCGAAGGAGGCGCTGTAGGTGATGCACAAGGTAGGTTTACTTATCTTTTATCAAGGACTATTTTATCAAATTGTTGATAAAATGGTTCTCTCGTGTAATTTACATGATCAGATTCTAAGATGATTGTTTATTTAATTTTAATTTAGCCTGATCATGTAAGTTATTAGATGTAGAATGAAATTTGTAAGTTAGCTTTTGTAGTTGTAGAATTAGATATTGATTTAGTAACCGTTGTAAGAGCTGTATAGCTCCAACCCAGGTAAAATCGTGTAAAGGTA